AGGATCTTCCATGTTCAACTTTTGACATGTACTCGGCGGCATTTTTTACTTATGAGCAATCTTTCTCCTGCAATTTTCTATCTGTACTCTGCACTTATAAACAATGAACAGAGAGGGATCTTTCTCGTGACTCTGCACTATTTGATCACCGAGGAATCTTTTTTGCGCCAGCACCTACTTTAACAGAAGACCGCGGTTTATACAGTCCCATCCGAAGGACCGATCTCCATGTCCAACATCACCGCACCATATGTATGGATTAAATGTGAATCCAATTTATTATTTTTTTTAAATTGGTTTTATAATAAGAAACTGATTTATTACGTCCTTTTTAGGCCTACTAGTCATCGATTGAAATAATACAAGTAAGTTCTTCGGAACTAAGGAACAGGATGAAATTGAGGGGGGGGGGGGGGACAGGTTGAATCTTCTTACAGAAAGAGAAATCTAAGTTTTTTCCTATATATAATTAGTTTGAAAATAATTTTTTATGACAAAACGTATACAATCTTTGCTGTCACTCAAGTTACAAATTCTAAATGACTACGGGTTAAAAAAAAGATGTAAAGGATAAATTATAATATGAAATTAATTTGTTTAATTTATTTAATCCATCCACCCCAGTCTCTTTTAAATTTTACATCTCATGAACATAGAAATTAATCTCAGTAATTATCAGCAATTTTCAGTACCAACAGTAACTCTCAGCAAATATCAGTAATTATCAGAACCCACAGTAAAAACGACAGTAAATATCAGTAATTATCAGAACTAACAGCAATTATCAGTAACAACAGTAAAAATATCAGTAAATATCAGAAATTCTCAGTACCAACAGTATAATATCTGTAAATATCAGAAATTATCAGTAAAAAGTGGCACTATCAGTATTTTTTTAGGCCAGTAGTGCTGGGATGACCTTGGGTCAAGGTCATGACACACCCTTGGGTAAAAAACAATCTCATTAGCAAGCACGAGCTTCCAATGGATCTCCATTACAAAATTACAGCCTAGACAAGAATTTTATATCTTTTCTGCCAGTAACCTTGAACTTGCCGGAATGACCTTAGGTCAAGGTTTGGACAAACCCCGAATCATAAGCAATCTCTGGTCAAGTTTGAGCTTCCAGTGATTCTTCATTTCAAAGTTAGATCCCAGGCAGGAATTTTATATCTTTTCTACCAGAGACCTTGAACTTTCTGGGTTTTTCTTGGGTCAAGGTCCTGGCAAATTCGCGGGTTATAAGCAATCTTTGTCCCAAGTATGAGCTTCCAGTGTTTTCCATTACAGAGTTATAGCCCAGACAAATATTTTATATTTTTCTGCCAGTGGCTTTGAACTTGGGGAAATGACTGGGTCAAGATCAGGACACATTTTTGGGTAATAAGCAATTCCTATACCGAGTATGAGCTTCCGGTGATTCTCCATCACAAAATTATGCCCCGGAAAAAAAATTATACCTTTTTTCCCAGTGACCTCGAACTGGCCGGAAAGACTTTGGCTCAAGGTAAAAACGCACTCTAGAAGAGATTAAGAAAACCATGATACAATGGAAAGCTAGAAAGCTCACTCCTCTTGGAAGATTGACTGTAATAAAAACATTATTAATTCCTAAACTAAACCATCTAATCCTAACTTTTACCAAATCCCAGTGAAGAAGTTATAAATGCTTTTGAAAAAGACTTGTATAATTTCCTTTGGAATAAGAAGAATCATAAAATTAAGAAAAATGTTATAATTCAAGACTACAGATATGGTGGTCTAAAGATGATAGATTATAAAGATTTTATTACATCATTGAAGGCAAGTTGGATAAGACGGGTAATACATTCAAAAGCCAAATGGGTCAGCTTACTTGAGGCAGAATTAAAAACAAGTATAAATCATCTTTGGCTGTTTGGAATTGATTATATTAAGAATTTAGGCAATAACGTGAGAAATATATTCTGGAAAGATGTATTTTTTAGCTGGTCTAAAGTATATCAGAATGAAGCTATGAAAGGTTTAACACTCCAGCAAGAACATGTTTGGTACAATCCAAAGGTCACCATTGCTGGCCGGTCAATTTTTATTAAAAGTTATTTTAATTCTGGCTTTGTTTTTTATTAATGATTTCCTTGATCCAAACGGTAATATTTATAGTTTTAATCATATTCAAAATAACTTAAATGTGAAAACAAATTATATTGAATATGCAGGACTAAGAACTGCTATAAGAAAGAGACTAGCCTGTTTTAAAGATTACAAAACAATTTCAATTTCCAGACCACTTATTCCTGCTGGTTATAAAATGGAGAAAAGAAGGAGAACAATTTTGTGAGGCATCATTGGAAGAAATATTTGAGCTACCATTTAAAACAACTCAAGAATCTAAATTTCAATGGTTACAATTTCAAATTTTACATAGAATAATTCCTACTAAAAGTTATCTTTACAAATTAAAATTAATTGATTCACCATTATGTTCCTTCTGTGATACTGATATTGAAACTATTGATCATCTTTTTGTTGACTGCTTCTGTGTTAAAGAACTTTGGTTGGAAATTGAAGAATGGAATTTGAATAAACTAAACCGGTTAGTTTGTTTCGATAAGAAATCAATCTTGTTTGGTAAATTTACAAACAGAGAACAATACAAGTTTGAGAATCTCCTTATTATGACTATCAAACAGTATATTTTTTCAAGTAAGTTCAAAAATCCAATAAAATTAAGCATTGAGGAATTAAAACATGTGACTACTGACAGAATTAGAGTTGAAAAGTTTTTACTGTTAAAAAACTGTAAATTTGAGGAATTTACAAGACACTGGCAGGAAATTGTTGAAAAATTGTAAGAACTCAAAAATCAATTTTTATTAATATTTTAAAGGTTCAGTGCCCCTCCTTTCTTATCCCTCTTCCCTCTCCATCTTTCCCCCTCTTCTTTTCTATCTTTTCTTAATCCCCCCAAAAATAAAATTCTTTCACACATTTTTTTTCTTTATATAACTGTGACTGTTTTTTATTTATAATTTGTGTGATTGAAGAATTAAAAAAAAAAAAAAAAAAAACACCCCTCGGTCATAAGCAATCTATGTACCACTTATGAGCTTCCGGTGTTTTTTATAACAAAGATATAACCCAGACAAGATTGCCCACACAGAAGCACAAGGCGATTCCTAACCCCCCTCCCCCCTTCCCCACCCAAAAAACCCCTTCCATTTCAGGGGGAGGGTAAAAGAATAATCCCGTATTGATGTAAAAAAGATGATAAATGAACAGTACATGCACATTATGTTTGCATATTTATATTTCTTACAATATTTCCTGCACATAGATATGTTTAAACTAAGCTCTTTAGTCACAAAAAATGATAGTCGTAGAACCTTGCAACTAATATCGAACTCTCTCAGTTACAATGAACAAAAATAATTCTAGCTGTAAAATAGATATGGTTAATTTCATTAGGTCTATAAAACCATTACAAATGTTGAAGCTTTTAGAACAGGAGATGACCGATATTTGGAATGAATTACAGACATATTTCTTTACAAAAGTGATTCGTCTGATATAGTAAATAATGTCACAATTAGAATTGTTGTACCTTTAAAAATCTGTTCAGATATAAATCAATATTAAAAAAAAGTCTAACATTTCCAATGTTTTACTGAGCGGGCATTAAAAATTGATGTTTGACTGCGGAGTGAGATATTGGACCTGTCGATGAGATGTTGGACCGCTTACGTCACACAATGGCCCGGGTCATCTAAATCTCATTTGCATTCGTTGGTGTTCGACATACATGTATGTCAAAAAAAATAATAATATAATAATAATAATAAATAAAAGGTATAACAAAACATTTATTGACAGACTACTATTGTTGGTCACCACCCTCCCCCTGATTTATATTTGGACAAGATGATACAAAGAGGCATTTATATTATTTATTATAGATTTAAATTATCGAGATTGATATTTAAGTACCTGTAATATATTGTCATAGATTTGTATATACCAACAAATTATACTGAGAGAGAGAGAGAGAGAGAAAGAGAGAGAGAGAGAGTCCGTGTAAGCCCCCCTTAATTAGATCAGACAGCAAACATATACTAGTATACATATTTACAGTGTAGGAAGGGAATTTTTTTCTCTATAACCGTAGACTACGACTACATGTAAAGGGAAAAGACATTCCCTTTCAGCTCCACGAAAAATTTGCTTTTTTTTAATGTATTACAATTTCTATAAATAATTTTTAATCACACTATTAATGTACATCTCACCGCGAATATTCGTATTGGTATCTATAATTCTAAGAACTAATTCTTACGTGTATTTCTATAGTAAATGTATAGCATGTCAGAAATGAATATGTTTGTAATTATGCTGCATGTGGTTAATCAATTGACTTAGACCATCATTTCTCTTACAATGTTTTGTCGTCTATGATGTTTACAAAATGTCGCGACGCTTGAAATTGCCCTATTTTAATTTAATCTGTCAGCTTTGTTCTAACTAAATATACTCACAGCAACATTTATTTTGTAGATTATATTAATAAATAACGTACAGTTAAGTTAATCAAATAATAAATAATACTGTAGATAATATTTTTCATAAAATCATGATTGTTTTATTAAAAAAAACACAATAAAAGTCCACTATTGAATTTCGAAATCTGTAAAGTCTTGCACATACGCTCATTTTACCTTTAGAAAGATTTACTCTTCACTTCGGAGTTACCGAATGACATCGAAGAAACAAAGACTAATCGATGAGTGAACGCTGAACGTAAATAAACGTACGGTAAGCAAACGCTGTATGTTTAGTGAACAGTGAAGGCAAGCGGTTGGTGAATATCAAACTTGAAGGGTGAGCGCATGCTGAACGGTGAGCGAAGGAAAAAATGAGAAGTAGAACATTTCTTGGACTATTTAATACAATTATTAGCAGTCAAGTCATCTTGCAACTGATATACTAGTAAGTTTTAGTTCATTATATTCATAGAGAGCACTCACCATTCTTAAGTCCTGAAAGGATGGTAAAAGCAGAATAAAATTTTTTAATTTTCTCATCAGGAATTTGGTCCGACAATGTCACAGGGTCTGCATTTCTAGCTTTGCACCAAAATTTTACAAACTTCCCCAATTCTTTCTCGTCATCTATGAGAAATGCAGGAACTTCGTCTACAGATAAAACAAATAGTACATTCTGCGTTAGTGCGCCATTGTTAATTTGAGTAAGATATTTTGATGAGAGAAAAAATGAACAGCCGTTGAATGGATATAAAATTTAGAGGTATCTTTTTATATGCTTTTGAAATTCCTCAGATGTTTTCCCTATATCCAAATGCAAGCCCGAATTTCTTGCGCGAGTGCCACTGGACTCCTCCCAAGTGAATATATATTAATGAACCACAAGGTAGTGGCCTAAAAAAGCTAGGTTATCAAAATATTGAATATCTAATGTAGCTTCTGTGACACCTCTCTAATATTACAGAAATCATGGCTCCCACATTCTTTGTTCTTAAAATATTTAAATGAATTAAAATACACAATAAAGGCCAGGGTATAGTTTCATCCCTGCGATATTTCTTATTTCATAGAGTATTTCCAGAATTACATGGGGGGGGGATATTTTTTAAGTGCATCGTTGGTGCAGTATCAACTATCCTTAAGTTCCGTACAAAGAGTCAATTGCAGAAAATGGTTTAAGGTAGAATCTTGTTCCTCTTTTGATTTACACACACTACATGTATTTTAATTTTTTTTTAAAAAATTCAATTTTTTTCTATTACTTTGTACATAGCATTGTTCGGTTAAGAATCCCTGCTAACTTCAACTTCGAATCAGTACTTGAACCAGGTCTTTAATTTCAAAATCATCTAGCATTGTTCATTGACATTCCAATGTGTACCGTGCTGTAGTATAAATTGTTTCAAATTTTGTTGGAATTAAAACACGTCTGCAGGAAACATAACGTTAAAAGAATCACAAAATGTTCATTCTATGTTACTTTAAAACGTTTGACAAAATCAAAAACCGATATCTAAAATTGTATATTTAAGCATAATCCAGTACTGTATCAACCGATCATCAAAAGGAAACGATGGATAAATAGAGTAATGTTTCTTTGTAAAGTTTAGTTGTGTATAAAACTTTTTTAATCAGAAAAAAACTGTTGGGGAGTATTTGTTTGACTTATTTTCACAGAATTTTCCATATAGTAACTATATGCATAGTAAAATTTATACCGTTCTTCCGAATCAAAAACTGACACAAATAATTACGTCTACAGATAACTAAGGTTTAATAACATGGTAGAAGTATTGTGGGGGATGAAGCGTTTTGAGAGAATAGAGCAGAAATTTCTATGATCTAGAAACCATGGCACTTCTGTTCGTTCAAATTAAGAATCGATATTATACAGAATCATGTATCGTGGTGTAGTTTACTTGTACATGTATACCAAGTTTTATTGAAATCGCACACTGTGGCAGGAGTAGAACTTTGAAATATTATTCACAGATAGGAACGACGGACACCTTACCACACATATTTGACAAACAAAGCTTAACATTGCTTTAGTTCGCAAAGTACAAAAATTTAAAATAAAATAGTATATACCGCATCAACTTTAATTAACTTTTATAGAAAGTGGTATTGCATTCTTTTTCAATAAATAATAAAATATTTCTTTCAAAAAATACTTAGATTATTACTTCAAATAATATAATATATTTAGGGTCAAACACATGTACCTTTTACAGAGGAGGGTAACTCGTTTCCGCGACCCTCCACAATCAGTCTCATCATTGTTATAGGACCGATGTCCTCTGATTTTCTAGAACCATCTACATGACGGCAGTACTCCTCAGCATATTTTCCTATGGATCCATTTGAGGCTACCTGTATGAAGAAGTCCTTGTCTATTTCACTCAGCAGGCAGTTTTCTCTATAGGATTTCATTATGTGAGGTCTTTTCTCGAATGAAATGTACACCCTGTCACCTGGAATTCTAGGTTCCACCAGACCTTTATTCCTTAGCTCCTTTATTATCTCCCCGACATCAATGTCACCAATACAGTCGTCGCCATCTATACAGATTTTACCAATGTAATCCTGACATAAGAACAAGGTGTAGAGAACGATACGCTGATCCTTTGTTAAATCTGATAACGGATCTGTGGGACACATGAAACAAGTTTACTTGATACTGCTGGGATAAAATTGTGTTGTTGTATAGTACTACACAAAATAATACATTGTAAACGACAATATAAAAAAGCAATGAACTTTAATGCTTACAGTTTAGAATTTATTCTACTATTTCACTGAAAGAGTTCTTACATATCTATTCTCAAATGTGAACAGTTTATGTAGAATATCAAAACAATTCACAAAAAATAATCTAAATACAATTACACTTCCTTGGATTGATTTAGTCAATCAAGTTGATTAAATTATATCATTTTTACCCTCCATTCCATACATATAAGATGATGTTTATTTCTATTTTTTTAAAATGTTTTTTAAATTCTTTTCTATTTCTAAAAACTATATGTTATGAAGGTAGAAAATAGCACTGTATTGGAATGAACGACTTGAACATATTGCCAAACTGCTTGAAATGATTATTTATCGACATCCTTACCATCACCTTTATTGTTTCCGGAATCCAACCGTCGATCTTCATCTCCAGACAAATCCTTATAATTAACAGAAGTACCAAGAGGGTCAGTGTATGCATCCGTCTTTGGGCGTTTTGCAAGGATGCACTGTAATGAGACAATTACATGTGAATTACATGTATATTGTTTGTCAAAAAATGTGCGTGTATATAGAAAATCTTTTAAGCATTGAATTATTTATTTAAAAGATGTAAAAGGTGTACGCAAACAAATTTGAGTAACGCGCGTTTGCGCGTTATGAATTGTTTTAGCGCAAACTGTTGTAGTTAAATATGACATATTACATCTTTCAAACAATAATAATTTAATGCTTATATTTACATTTTTAACTCCACGCATGTCTGCAAAAGTGATTTATATTGCAAAATCCCTGTATTATCCTTCTTGTAAGTTAGAACTATGGAAGAGCCATTGCAACAGCTACTTCCGCCAGACTGTTCAATGTGAGCGTGAACGCTGATTTTTTGCTTATAGCGTACACATTTGTGACGTCAAAATAAAAATCATACTTGAATCTTAGGACCTCCCCGTCTGTGTGATGGTGTTTTGAATGCCAAAGTTTAAGACGCACTTTATAAGTAAAATACAAGTGGAATGTTAATATTTTCATTTACTAGATACTTTGGAAGTTACTGTGGTTTTAAATTCTGTTCAAAAAAATATTTTTTAAAGAACTGTTTATAAAGTTTAAGTTTAATAAAAAGTTAAGAAACCTCTCGTTTGAAAATATTTTTACATGTATTCATTTATTTTGCATATCAAATTTCTTAAATTGCACTCATCGACATAATTGACACTCTTTTCAATAAAATTGAAAGCATTAATTGATTTGATGTGCACACCAATTTAATTGATGAGAGGACTATTTATTTAGTTCAACATTTATTTCATTTTAATAAGTCAAAAAATATCTTATACAGTTTTCGGAAAGAAGTTGATTCAACTTATATGTTTTTTTTATTTACTTTCAATTTTAATTAATATTTGTCCCTGCTGTGTGACAATTATAATATTTATTAGTAATCTAGAACGTATTTACAATGTCTGCAATGTAAATATCTGGAAGGTAATTCGTGTGTTGCAACTGTAATTTGTTATTATTATGATTACATTACTGTACATGTTTATTTTCTCTTTCAAATGTATATGCCCCTTCTTAATAGAAAGAAATGCATGCACAAAACAAATATACATGTATACAATACCTACAGAGTAGAGTCAAGTGTATATATATATATATATATATATATATATATATATATATATATACATATATATATACATATATATATATATATATATATATATATATATATATATATATATATATTTATATATATATATATCTGTGTGTGTGTGTGTGTGTGTGAGGGTGTGTTTGACAGTGTATACATGTACGATACCAAAAATACAATAACTTCCGACGGATAAGAATAAGAAGACAAATAAGGAATTCACCGAAGAGGGTCTCACTCTAGAACAAGACCTCTTCGAGGAAACATGGCTCTAGATTTAGCCTTCCCTCCGGGTGAGTGAAGTAGGACTCTAAAGTGAATATTCCCCCCTTGTGTACTTACTATGTTTTGAGACTTTTGGGGGAAGTATGGCTCTGAGGGAGATGTATGCTATAGAGTGAGAAATTCCCCTAGGGTGGAAGGCTTACTCTATAGCGAGACTTCCAGTGGAGGTTTCACTATGAAGGGAAATTTCACTCTTCAACACCGGGATTCGAACCCGGCCCCCCTGAATCTCCTGTCAGGTGCTCTACCAACTATCTGACCTCCGGCGATTGAATCATTCTGACTGCCACAGATTATTACTCACGTTTCCGATCTCCCCGATACTATCGTCATAATTCCTCTTCTCAGCTATAATCATCGGAAACTGTGAAAATCTGTCATCAATCGGATCTAAAGGTTGGCTACAAGGTCTGTGATAAAGAGAAAATAATGATTATCTTTTATTTCTAAAGGTATACAGTTATTTTTACTTAAGACAAGTAATTACTTTTTGAAAGTTCATTGAACAAATCTCTTCACAGAAATAAATACTTATATCATTTATACACAATATAAGATTGTGCACTTGATTTCTTCCACTTCCCAAATAAGAAGTATATGCAAACGACATACATGTATTTAGGAGTTTGAAGTTACTTAGCATCCTGAGCCTTTAAATAAAATGGTTTAAATAACATAAGGTCACTGAGCCACAACGCTTACTTGCATCAATCTGGTTTTGATGTTCTTTAGAAGAGGGGTTTTAAAAGATTTTTTTCCTAAACATTCCTGTGAGATATTTAATCCATTATTGTGGCCCCAAACTATCTCACTGGACCGTGATTTGATCTCTCTACTTGATGATGCTTGCATGCAAAAATATGAATAGTCATGTCCCGGTAGTCCTTGAAAGAATTCCTTTACATTCCTTTGCAAAAATCTATTTCTGAAAAACCTAAGAAGGTCCCAATTTAAATCTCTCAATCTCCACCTGTTGAGAATGCTTGCATATTTTTATAGTCCATCATAACCTGGACGTTCTTGAGAAGAAAACTCTAGCCCTGATCTTTTGTTCTGTAGGAGAAGCTAAAAATGTGAAAAGTTTATAACAACAAAGACGCTGACAATAAATAAATGAAACATTTTGAACAGAAAAGCTCACTTGAATATTTGGCTAGGATGAACTAAAAACAAGATTAACCAGAACTGCCCTTATGAAACTAATACCCCTTGAGCAACCAGAAAAGGGGTTCAATTTTAAATAGCTTTAAAAAGTGCTCAGGCTTCTTGATGAAAAATAACACTGCAAATATTCTTATTGTTTAATTCCTTGTGGAATGTTACTTATAAATGAATGAAGGCTGCAACATTTCTAGGCAAGAAAAATGGTTAAGAAGATTTATAAAATTCTAGTCAAGCTTCAGAATATTTATGCCATGAGACACTTTTACTTCTGAGTCGGGTAACTATAACTTTACGCACACAACTATTGCATTTGATCATGTCATACCTCTTGCTCACAATCACCTGCATTCAAAGTATTATCTCCTGATACCCTTGCACTAGAAGGTTTTGCCTTTCTGAATTTATCATTTCTGAGCTAATATCTTAATGTGCTTAATACCTTTGATTAAGATCATGAAGAATTCTATGATCATTTCCTATAGAGTCATTAGGAGAGGCAGAAAGGTTTCCAATAGGACCAGCATGAGATGCAGACATGTTCCCCTTAGGATGAGCGGGAGAGGTGGACATGTTTCTCAAAGGACTAGAAGGTGAGGCGGACATGTTTCCCATAGGACCAGCAGGAGAGGCGGACATGTTTCCCATAGGACCCGCAGGAGATGCAGACATGTTTCCAATAGTACCAGCAGGAAAGTCGGACATGTTTCCCATAGGACCAGCAGGAGAGGGAGACATGTTTCCCATAGGACCAGCAGGAGATGCGGACATGTTTCCCATAGTACCAGAAGGAGAGGGAGACATGTTTCCCATAGAGCCAGCAGGAGAGCTGGACATGTTTCTCATAGGACCAGCAGGAGATGCGGACATGCTTCCCATAGGACCAGCAGGAGAGGCAGACATGTTTCCCATAGAGCCAGCATGAGAGGCGGACATGTTTCTCATAGGACTAGCTGGAGAGGCAGACATATTTTCCATAGAGCCATCTAACTTTATCAAAGGTGGTAAATGCTGTCGTGTTTTGTAGCCTAAAGAATCCCATCCTTTACCTAAATTATAAAAAGCATACAATGTATTAAATGTACACTAAGAAATTGATACTGCATGCATATAGTCCAAAATTAAACAAGTATGGGCAGTTTACGAAACCATTATAATAGTACAGAGGAAATGGTGTTCTTAAGATTAATTTTGCAAAAATAATGGGGAAAATGGATATTTTATTATATCAATTATGGTACTTTACAAAACTTTCCCAACAGCAGCAATTCAAAATTTACAGTTTTTTTTTTTAAATTCAATCACTAAAAAAATTCAGACAGCCACTGATAGCACTGATTCAAAGATACCTCATTATAATCAAGGACACAGTTATCCTTTTAGAAGTTCAAGAGAAGAAATGACCTTCAAACACCTGCACATACAAGGACCAAACTAGTCCCACCCTGGGTCCTAAACCCCGAATTCAAAATTAAACTTCTGGTAGAAGGGTCTTTGCTTTCATCACTTAGTAAGTTTTCTGTTTATTTATAAACAAAATATAGTTATATTCTACATTTATTTAAAGTTTAATCAGCAGTGAAGCATAGATAGAATATTAATGCTCAACTGGAAAGTTATGGGAATTGGACAGATAAACTGATATTGGGAGAGCTTTAAAAAGAGACAATCATAGGCCTCTAGCTCAGGTAAAAAAATATATTATCAACAAGCTTAATTAAATCTGTTTATACAAGAGTTCTTACTCCTTATATTGTTTAAATTGGAGTTTTTGTCAGCTGAAAAGCTTATAAGCGGAGTTGTGTGTTTGCTCTGTTCCTGATTTGTATTGTTTTAATGGACTTTTGAGTTTGATTATTGTTCGTTTTTTCCATATTTTATTGTAATAACTATGTGACTGTATTTATTCATTTTTAATACATGACCTAAAAAGCCCAACCTTAACACTAGACCTCCTGATCCTAGGGCCACGAGAATTCACAATTTTGTGAATAAGCAGTTTTCATATTGCTGTTGTTTCTTTCAGTCTAAAACATTTAGAAATATTCTAAAAAAAAAAAAAAGCAAGGATGCCTGCGACTATATTTTTTTTTTAAATAAAACCCATTCATTTAAATAACACTGAAAAATCATACTTGAAGGAGCTGCCATGTACTGATTAAATGTTGGTAGCTGAGAAGGCATATAAGCATCATTTCGATATGGTGTCAATCGCTCATTTTGTCCCGTCATTAAGTGTTGTTGCTGATGTTGCTGTTGAGTTGGTTGTGGTGTTGTATGCCCTTGCTGCTGGATGAATGGATATATGCCCCAAGGAGCCTGAACATCGTGGTTTTGAGGATAAAATATTGATGGTTCTAAAATAAATCAACGACATTATAACAAACAAAAAAGATCATTCTTCTAATATCATGATTAAAAAAAAGAAAATATACTCTTTGAAGGCTCCCCTGAGTCACATTTTCTGTAGTCAAGGAACTTGTAGATCAATAAAGCCCATACATGTACTAGTTATTGTGCCCCAAGAAGAGTCACTCATAAAAGATCAGTACTGGATCCTTATTGCAGTTCCTACTTTAATTTGGGAAGGGGTTATTCAAACTTGAAAGCACATAACAATATGCACAAATACTACTTGTAGTATTTTGATCCAACTAATGTTTCACGAATTTTTTGATGACATTTTTGATATGATTTATAAGTATTTTTACCAATAGAATGTTCTTTCTACTGTCAAAATGACAAGAACAGTTTTACGTCTGCATTATATAAGGATTCTTAAATCTTTATCATATATTTAATTAGTCCTTTGCAAAAATGAACCATATTATTGTTCAATCCCACAAAAAGAAATTAACTAAATTGAATATCACTGCCTGACAAAGTTTGCATAATGATTTAACAAACTGTTGCCATTGCCAAGCTGTTCCAGCAAAAAAATTCCTACCCATATGAATCCTTTCACATTTGCTAACGATTTGTTAATTATCATCAAAATGCGTGTAAAAGCTGGGGAGCGGGGGCAGGGGTTATACCTCTATAACTCTAAAACATTTCGTAATGGTAACAGTATTATCATAGTTTCTTCAAAATATACACATCTCTAAGTATATATGTATTTTGTCAGAAATATTTTTATTAATGATCTTTCGGTAAGCAACTTTGAATTGTAGGATTCATACACATTCCTTGTAATTCACGGTTGATTGACCACTAGGAGCCTCTCTCCCTTCATCAGAGAGGACTTTGTTTTCAATCTAAGCTAAAAGGAAGTGATTTATGTGCTTTTTAAAAGCTAATTCCTTTGGATATATGTAAACATGTTGTGGTTCTTCAGTCAAAAATGTTCAAGACACCAAAAAAGCAAAAAATGTTAAAAGGATAATCTGAGCACTCCAGGATCCTACTTAATTTACTGGTTGTTACTGAGAAGAAAAAAACATTCATACTTGAAGTGTAGGTCATCTGCTGATTCGAGTGAGGCTGCTTAGATGTCATAAAGGCTTCATTTTTATGTGGTGTCAATCGCTCTTTTTGTTCATTAATTAATTGTTGTTGATGCTGTTGCTGTTGTTGCTGTAAAAATGGCTGTGGTGTTGTTTGCCCTTGTGGCTGGATTGCATTTCCTGTATGGAAGCCCCAAGGAGCCTGAGCATCATAGTTCTGATGAAACATTAATGCTGGGCCTAAAATATATCAACAAGGTTTATAAAGATCAGATGAAGACCATTTTTACATGAAATACATTATTATAAATGAAAATATATGATGCCCCTCGGTCACAAGGCTTACCTGAGTCATAGTTTTTCCCATTCTCAAAAGGATATGTAAATCAAGGAAACTCATAATTGTGGCCTAAAAGTTTATCACACAGAACACACAGAATCAACGTTAACACACTTGAGAGACACGGAGATAAGGGGTATATATCTGGAATATTGATAATATCTCAAACACCATGAGGCGGAAATCCCAATTAACCACTCTTTCTCTAAATATTATAACCTTGATGTTTACTTTGGCAAAGGTGAACTATTAAGTAGCCCATGGGCCACAACGCTCACCAGAATTATAAAGGTTCTATTGTGTTTGAGCAGGAAATTGTTTTAAAGGATTTCTTTCTTCCACTATATTTCTACTATAAACAATTAGACAAGTCATACAAGATTACTAAGATCTCATTAATTCTTTCATAAAAACCCCAAGCTAAAACCTACTAATTTGAAAAATACAATATTGAATTTTATGTCAATGTAAAATGGGCCGCCCTATGGTAATAAAGCCACAAAGAGATAAGTATTATATTATGCAAATTAAGTGGGTTAATTAAAACTCTCATTGGTGCAAAAAGAAAGCAAATTACAATCCTTTAACTTAAAAATTTACAGAATCGTGATCTATAGACAAGTATGCTTACAGGATATTTGATATTATAATTCTCATGTCAAAAACATATGAACTTTTAATTTGAATTTTACGACTTTCAGAATTTTTAATCATATAGAATTTGTAAGATTGAATGTCTATTCAGCGTAATCCTAGTTACCATTACAGTGATGAAAAACTTAAAACTACACAAAATAGTCTCAGATGCAGAACAATTAAAAAAAAAAAAAGAAGAAAATTAAACGATTTTTATAAACATAAGTTTTTATTCCATTTAACAGAGTGGCCATTTATACCCTTGGGTTATGGTCATTTACAATATATGCTTAATGGAATTGTTATCTATGATTTGTAAAAATAGTTCTCATTGTATATATAAAAGAAAGATTTGTACATGTTGTTTTTTTTTCAGTCCAAAGTGTTAGAGGCACTAGAAAACATAGGTAATCAAAGATTACTAAGCTCACCTCGACGAATGTTATCTATAAGTAAGGTAAATCTCACATCATATTTTTTTCCTAGTTAGTGTACATTCCAAGATTAATATCCATCAATATTAGATTCAGAATCCAAAGTAAGTCTGGAACTGTCCATCTCTAGATACATCATCATTCATGCTAATTTGGTTAAAATATGGCTAAAATTCACTCATGTGGAAAATCTAGGTCAGATCCAGAATCCAAAGCAGGTTAGTTAGTGTACATCCCTAGATGCATCATCCATGCAAGTTTGGTCCAGGTAGGGCTTATATTTACTTGGGAATGGACCTGCTCCAAAAAAACTTTAACCTGATCAATCATCTGGAAAATCTAGGTCAGATCCAGCATCTGAAGCAAATATGGTAGTGTCTATCCCTAGATGTATCATCCATGCAAATTTGGTCCAGGTAGGGCTTTTAGTTACTTGGGAATGGACCTGTTCCAAAAACTTTAACCTGGTCACTCATCTGGAAAATCTAGGTCAGATCCAGCATCCCAAGCAAGTGTGGTAGCGTCCATCCCTAGATGCATTATCCACGAAAGTTTGGTCAAGGTAAGGCTTAAATAATCACTTGGGAATAGACCTGCTCCCAAACCTTTAATCTAGTCACTCATCTGGAAAATGTAGGTCAGATCCAGCATTTGAAGCAAGTATGGTAGAGTCCTTCCTTTGATGCATCATCCATGCAGGTTTGGTCCAGGTAGGGCTTATAATTGGGTACCTGCTCCAAAAACTTTAACCTAGTCACTCATCTGGAAAATCTAGGTCAGATCCAGCATCTGAAGCAAGTGTGGTAGTGTCCATCCCCAGATGCATCATCCATGCAAGTTTGGTCAAAGTAGGGCTAATAGTTTCTTGGGAATGGACCTGCTCCAAAAACTTTAACCTAGTGACCCATCTGGAAAATCTAGGTCAGATCCAGCATCCAAAGCAAGTGTGGTAGTGTCCATCCCTAGATGCATCCTCCATGCAAGTTTGATTCAGGTAGGGCTTATAATTACTTGGGAATGGACCTGCTCCAAAAACTTTAACCTGGTCACTCATCTGGAAAATCTAGGTCAGATCCAGCATCCGAAGCAAGTGTGGTAGTGTTCATCCCTAGATGCATCATCCATGCAAGATTGGTCAAGGTAGGGCTAATAGTTACTTGGGAATGGACCTGCTCCAAAAACTTTAACCTGGTCACTCATCTGGAAAATCTAGGTCATATCCAGCATCCGAAGCAAGTGTGGTAGTGTCCATTCCTAAATGCATCCTCCATGCAAGTTTGATCCAGGTAGGGCTTATAGTTACTTGGGAATGGACCTGCTCCAAAAACTTTAACCTGGTCACTCATCTGGAAAATCTAGGTCAGATCCAGCATCCAAAGCAAGTGTGGTAGTGTCCATCCCAATCTGCATCATCCATGCAAGTTTGGTCCAGGTAAGGCTTACAGTTACTTGGGAATGGACCTGCTCCAAAAACTTTAACCTGGTCACTCATCTGGAAAATCTAGGTCATATCCAGCATCCGAAGCAAGTGTGGTAGTGTCCATCCCTAGATGCATCATCCATGCAAGTTTGGTCCAGGTAGGGCTTATAGTTACTTGGGAATTGACCTGCTCCAAAAACTTTAACCTGGTCACTCATCTGGAAAATCTAGGTCATATCCAGCATCCGAAGCAAGTGTGGTAGTGTCCATCCCTAGATGCATCAACCATGCAAGTTTGGTCCAGGTAGGGCTTATAATTCCTTGGGAATGGACCTGCTCCAAAAACTTTAACCTGGTCACTCATCTGGAAAATCTAGGTCAGATCCAGCATCCGAAGCAAGTGTGGTAGTGTCCATCCCTAGATGCATCATCCATGCAAGTTTGGTCCAGGTAAGGCTTATAGTTACTTGGGAATGGACCTGCTCCAAAAACTTTAACCTGGTCACTCATCTGGAAAATCTAGGTCAGATCCAGCATCCGAAGCAAGTGTGGTAGTGTCCATCCCTAGATGCATCATCCATGCAAGTTTGGTCCAGTTAGGGCTTATAGTTACTTGGGAATTGACCTGCTCCAAAAACTTTAACCTGGTCACTCATCTGGAAAATCTAGGTCAGATCCAGCATCCGAAGCAAGTGTTGTAGTGTCCATCCCTAGATGCATCATCCATGCAAGTTTGGTCCAGGTAGGGCTTATAATTCCTTGGGAATGGACCTGCTCCAAAAACTTTAACCTGGTCAATCATCTGGAAAATCTAGGTCATATCCAGCATCCGAAGCAAGTGTGGTAGTGTCCATCCCTAGATGCATCATCCATGCAAGTTTGGTCCAGGTAGGGCTTATAGTTACTTGGGAATGGGACTTGCTCCTAAAACTTTAACCGGGACGCCGACGCTAACGCCGACGCCGACGCCAACGCCGGGGGTATAGCATAAGCTCATCTCGACTTCGTCGAGGTGAGCTAAAAATACAAAAATGCAAAATTGACAATTTTGGCGACTTCAGAATCTTGAAAAAATCCCAATTTACTAATGAAAACAATCCTACTTGAAGTGGTTATCATCTGCTGATTTAAGCCTTGCTGCTGAAATGGAATATAAACTTGGTTTGGTCTCAATAGCCCATTTTGTCCATCCATTAAGTATTGTTGTTGTTGCCATTGTTGCCGTGAAGTTGGATTTGCAGTTATCTGACCTTGCTGCTGGATAAAGTTTTCTTCAGGGAAACCCCAGTTAGCCTGACCAACATAGTTCTGAGCATGAGCAAAGGCTGGTCCTAAAATATAACAACAATATTTACATGAATCAGAGAAAAATCATTCTTCGATGTAACATTATTATGGAGAATGTATTAAATGCCTCTGAGTCACAATGTTAACCTTACTGAGCACACTTTTCTACTAGTCATATGAATATGTTGAACACTGACTACAAAATTGTTCCTATATACTGAGTCTTTCAGCACTGGACCATTGTAACACCTCTTCCTTTATAGGGGCCAAGACTTGATTTAAACTTGAAACCAAACTATACTATGCACAAATATTAGAATGTATATTGATCTGACTTCTGTACCAGAATTTTTTAAAGCTTATATCCTGGGTACTTGGTCGGAAAATCGTCCAAGTAACCTACTTCCTTCAGAATGGCTATATTTTTGCCTTTTAAACATGGCCTGAAAGGGGGTTGCTCTTAATAATTTGTAGATAACGCGATGCTGCTTTCTTAGTTAAAGTAAATATGTTAATGCTTGGCTCTACTGTCAAAAATGCCCATGGCACCAAATAAAATTTCAAAAAATGTCGAATGGATAACCTGTGTGACTCTAGAATCCTATAACTAATAAGTTATTAAAAAGATATCATACTTGAAAAGTTAATCAAAGACGGATTAAAGTATTCCTGCTGAAACAGTATATTGGCTTCATTTTGATTTTGTGTCAATCGCTGATTTTGTCCATCCATTAAGTATTGTTGTTGTTGTTGCCGTGAAGTTGGCTGTGCAGTTGTCTGTCCTTGCTGTTGGAATAAGTTTGCTGGAGGGATGCCCAAATGAGGCTGACCACCATAATCCTGAGGATGAGTTACTGCTGGTCCTAAAATTTATCAATAACATTAATATCAAACAGAAAAAAAAACAATTTTGATTGCAATGTTAATTCAGATACTAACAAAGAAAGAAAGACATTTTATTGGTCATATTTATTTCTGTACAAATAATCATCAAAAGTAGGATTAAGTAAATTAACCATTGTATTATTGATACATGTATGTACGTCATTGTATGTTTCATTGGGGGATGAGCCACTGCTCAAAAAATCTGTACAGGTGATAGGCTTATTGCCCTTTGCTGACTGATAAATGGCAATGGTTTTCTTAAGAAATAAAAATATTCAGTGGATGTAAAAATATGTACAGGTATGTTACTTATAGTGTACAGTAATTGTGAAAAATGTTAATAGGAATACTGA